TCGAAGACGTGTTCATGTAGTCGCGGAATGTCCGTTGTACAAGAAGGAGAGGAAAGTGTACGTGACTGAGCTNGTCAATGGCCTAACCGCAAAAAATAAGAGTACGCCCCCCCCCACCACCAAGAGAAAACAAGACCCTCGAGAACGTGCCGAATGATTACAACCGGAGCATCAAGTTGAGAGCTGTCGAAATTGAGTGTGAGACGTACATAATTCAACCAACAGCAGAGGCCTGCCACAAACAAAAACGCTGGCACGTGGAACAACAGACTACCGCAACTCACGTATCGTAGGTTGCATGACGTACGATATCACACCCCCTGGACCGATTTTCGAAGCTCGATATCTCGGCAGGGAAAACAGTGACGGTGTCGGCAAATGACGGAGCTCGAACAGCAGTCTCGTCGAGAGCTTACCGACAATGTAACGTTCGATGAATACCGTAGGTTGCATGACGTAACATCACACCCCCTGGACGGAAGTTCAAAGCTTGATATATCGGCAGGGAAAGCAGTGACGGTGCTGACAAATGACGGCGCTGGAACCGTAGTCTCGTCGAGAGCTTTCCCGACGACGTATTATTTGGGTTCGGCATCCTCTTCGTCCGTGGAGTTATCGTGCATTGAAAATTGGTCCGGGGGGTGTGATATCTTACGTCACCTACGGTGTCGCCCATACAACAAACACAACGGCCAAACTTGAGTGCTGCACTCTTCTCGCATTAAAAATCGAAGTCAAGGTACCGCAAGAGGGGAGGGGAGGGGGCCTCAGGGAGAGCAACCACCCTCCTGTGCGTTGGTGTAGACGGCACAAGTGCCGTGAGGACCGCTGATTTACACAAAAAAACAATTCTGCGGAACAACGGACTGGTGTAGCGAACACACACGGCTTGTACATGAGAACAGACAACCTCCACAAAAAAATACTTTAACAACAATCAATCTTGAAAATAAAAATCGCACCTTCTTGTAGAAGGCCGCCTTAGTATCTGGCTGGTATGTCACCGCAGCCGCTGGGGTCGACGCTTCTCCCGCCGCCGCCGCAGCCGCCGGTGCAACAGGATGGGGCTTCGAGGCAGGCCTAGCGAGGGAGCCCGCGAGAACCAAGATTGCCGCGGGGAGGTATGCGTTTCCCAAGCTCTGCATGGAGAAAGAGAGGGGGGGGGGTACGGGGCGAGTGCTTTTTGTCAGCGATGCGCAGAAAAAGTTGATTCGTTGGCTCGAGACCTTGGTTAGGGCTAGGGTTAGGGTTACGGGTTAGGGTTACGGGTTATTGACGAGTGAAGAGGGCACACTGGCCCACGCACCGTAAAGCAGGGGGATCGCTGACATTCTACATAGGAACACTACCGAGAAAAGTTAAAATGCAAAGAAGAGGCCTTGAGCACCATTTTGTGAGCTCGGTTAAAAGGACCTTTACCTTTCAAACCTGCATAGCGGCCAATCGTAGCATAGAATCCCCCTGAGCCTGGGCCAAAACTAGAGGGCGGGCGGGCGGTTTTCCGTACAGCGGATATGCAAACCGTATACGATACAAGACGACACACCCCCTTGGACCGATCATTCAAAGCGTCATTACTCCAAGACGCAGAGGATGCAAAAACGAAACGATAGACTTTCGGAAAGCTTTCTCAAGATGTATCGGCTTCAACTCCGCTGTTTTTCGGCGCTGTGACTCTTGCTGCTGGTCGAGAAATCGAGCTTTGAAAATCGGTCCAGCGGGTGTGTTATCTTGCGTCGTACACGGTCCCAACATAACACGCGGGGAGGGAGGCGTGCTCATGTGTTGCATGCCCTAGTTGCCGTTCGACCATTGGCCACGGGTCACGAATAGAGGACGAAGCATTGCTGTTCCCACAGGACCGATCACCGATGGCCACTCGTTCTTTCCTGCGTTGCCAAAGGTGGCTCTAAAAAGTTTCTGCCGGGCGTACCTATCCTTCCCGTCTTTTCAGCCCACTTCCTATGCCACAGTATAGCCCCCCGGTGTACTCATTGTGGTGCATGCCGTAGTCGTGACACCATTGACCTCGCACCCCTACAAAGCACTATTAGTACGCCGGATTCTCACCGGACAAGGCTCTCACATCACCAAGTGCGAAGCACCGTGAGGTGTTCGGTGAGGGGGGGGGGGGGGNGTTGTACTCACCTTGAGCGCATCAAAGAGCGGCGAAAGAGGAGCAGACCGGCCGAGAAGCAGCTTCCTCCCAACAGGCAGCAGTCCCGCGAACATGCCCGCAATGCACCTGTTATTGTGTTGTGGTTTTGGTATTCTTTCTTAGTTTTTCCGCCACCAAACGTGTGTGTTACGACGTACTCGGAACATATGGGGGCCCTGTGTATCAATCGTGGTGCTTTGGTACCGAATGAGAGACGGGGTACGGAAGAGCGTTTCGGGTTTTACCCTCCTTCGCTGCTATATCCAGCAAAGCAAATTTTGTGATGATCGGCTCTCTGTCTCTGTTCCCTGTCTCTCTGTCTCTCCCTCTGGCTTTTCTCTCTCTGCCTCCCTCTCTCTCTTTCCCCCCCCTCCTCTCTCTCTTTGCCCCTCTGTCTCTCTCTCCCCCTCGTTCTCCTTCTCTCCCTCCATCCCCCTCTCTATCTCCTGCCCCCCCCCCC